GCATTGTCGAAAATATTTTAGTTGGCTAGAGAATGTCCGAATATGCCCTCCATTAAATTTTCAAAGTGATCCGTTGTCTGGTTCACCAGAAACGTCTAATGTGCCATCCACCGTGAATCAGCCTGTATAATCAACATTGAAAGATACACAGAAAACAGTTAATGTTTTTGTAGCTTGAAAATCTTTCTAATTAACTGAAAGTAATAAATTAATAAATATGTAACAAGTGCCATTTTTTTTATTGTCACTTAATGACAATTCATTTTCTAGCAACTTAATCGTTTTTCAACTTGACAACATTGCCTGCGATTTCTCAAAGTTCAACGTCGAACAGTTCCATTTGTTGAAATTTTGTCATCCTCAATCTTTCACAGACTTTTTTTCAACTCACCTAATTCTATTTTACAAATACAGTCTTCTTTCTCTCTTTGAATGAAATGCGTCTTGTTGACAAAATGTGATTTGAGTAGCTCGAGACAATCAACAAAATTCTCTTTCTTCGCGTAGTGGAAGGGGGTCATGTAGTTGCTGTCTCGAGCTTCGGGGTCACCTCCGCAGCTGAGGAGGAGCTGCAGAACCTCCAAACGTCCCCATGCGGCTGCTATGTGAACAGGAGTCAAGCCATCGTCAGATCTGAGAAAAAAAAACACTTGTATCATTACGCCGCAGGGAAAATAAGTTATTCAAGAGGGTAAACATTCACGGCATGACATTGTTGTGTCAAGGTTTTCATGTCGGACGTTTCATTTACGACTGCGGTACACATTATCAATGAGGCAACACTCGAAGTTCTCTAATTGACTTCAAAGTAGGTACTGTGAGGACAGTACCGAAATGGGAATGAAGGGTTCTTAAATTCATCGATTGATGCGATGGATTCATCTATTGGTCCATTAGAGACGTTAGCGCTTTTTTATTGGTTGAAGTAATGATTAAAACACGAGAAGATTAATTGCTGCTTTTCTAGATATCGAAGGTGCATTAAATAATGTCTCCACGGAGTCACTTATAGACGCACTGGGAAACAGAGGAGTACCAGCTGTCGTGTGTCGATGGATAAAAGCCAGCCTGTAAAGAAGGATGATATACCCCACTCTAGGAGAGGCTACCATACAGATAAGAACAGAGAAGGAGGCGTACTATCGCCATTGCTATGGGCAACCCTAGTAGGCGATCTCGTCAGGAAGCTATCTGAAGAAGGCATATATTGCCTGGGATATGCTGACGATCCGGTGATAGTCACAAAAGGGAAATTTGCAGGCGTTATCTCGGAGCAAAGAACCTTGCACATCGTCGGCAGATGGTGCAAGCATGAGAACCTCTCAGTGAATGACCAAAAAACCACTGTCGTCGTGTTCACAAGAAAAAGAGTGATGCAAGGACTGAAACCACCAATACTCAATGAAGTGGAGATCCCTTTGGCCACGGAAGTCAAATACTTAGGCGTGACCTTCGACCACAGGCTCACGTGGAACCTCCACATCCAAAACACAGCACATAAGGCCAGAATGACCCTGGGAATCTGCAGAAGAATATGCGGGAAAAACTGGGGACTGAACCCAAAAATGACACTCTGGTTATATAAAAGGGTAGTGAGACCTATGATAACATACGGTGTAATGACTTGGTGAACAAGAACAAAGCAATCGGGTACGGGTAGGCTATTAGGCGGCATACAAAGGTTGGCCAGAACCCTTCTGCGTGGTAGCGAAAGCATGTATAAAGTGAAGGCGTGGATGCAATCCGAATCGATAGAGTGGTGGAATATGCTCCCAGGAATGAGGCAGGCGAAATATTCTATAAAGAAACCATCGCCCAGATTCACGGAAGACCTGCTAATACCCAACCGTAATGCAAGGCGCAAATTGAGACACGTATAGCACGTGTAAGGTGACGCAGCACATCACGTGCTGCCAGATGAAAAAAAAAACAAATAGCGTAAATATTTTTAATGAAAATAACGGAATTACATTCACACAATTCAACTAACAATGAAGCAAAAAATTTTATTGAACGTAACTAATAACTAATTATTGAAATGTTTCGATTCAGTGCAACAATTGATTCTAACCCATATTCTAGTAGCCTCTACTAATCCACCACGTATTTCGATACATGTGTCGTAGCGCTTACGAATGTTTCTGATTACGTTCCTTAGTTCTTGAGGGCTAATATCTGCACATACCTGTACGATTTTCGACTAAGAAAAAATATCGTAGTATGCCCTGAAACTTTAATAAACATTTCAAATTTTGTCCCAAGGTAGACCTTTTAGTACTTGACATTCCAAAAAGAAAATATTAAAATCGGTTCACAACTTCAAATTTTAGGGGGGTGTCTCCATTAAAAATGGGTCACACTGTAGATCACCGCACAACCCATACGTGTCGTGTCTTGATTTCAACTGCGTCCTAATTTGCGGATCCCCACGCAGTGTCCCTCGTGTCAGGTCACGTCACACGTGCTATACGTGTCTCAATTTGCGCCTTACCTAAGGTGGGTCTACTAACAGAACATAGCCGGCTCAGGAAACATATGAACAATATGGGTCTGAAAAAAGAAACTCAATGCAGGTTTTGTCAAGAAGAGGAAGAAACCCCATTGCATGTGCTCTGTGAATGCGAAGCGATAGCAAGGCTGAGACACGCAAGATGCGGGAAAGAGAAACCAGAGGCTGCCAGCAATACGAAGGGGTTATTGTCAAGGCTATGGACTCTCATCAAAGAGATCAAGCTAGACAATGAGCTCTAACAACCAAGGAGTATCACAATGAATGTTAAAAGGTCGCAGTGAATCATGCCATGGGCTAGCTCCCCGACAATCTAATCTAATTGCCATCTTCCTTTCTTTGGAAGATCCCTACATTTTTGTATGGAGATGAAGAAGGAGAAAGCCAAAACCATTATTTAATAATTTTGAGTTATTTTTCTTTTCAACTTGGTTAAATATTACTTTTTTGAATGTATAGGGTCTTACAACAGGGACTTTCGAACTCTGACAATTGATAACGGCCATCTTGTTAAAGCTACATCTATCAAATTAGTTGTTAATGAATCAGTCTGTTTTGCCAGATCACCAAAGTCGGATATAGCATTCAACAACACGTGCAAATGATGAAATTGTATCAACAAAATCGGTGTTCGGTTCGGACAATGTACCGCGCGCTTCGCTCATTTTACGGTCGCCTCAATCGTCCTACCGAGAGGACTATGGTAGTCGATTTCACGTCGGTCACAAGAACTCGGCTTTTCGCATGCCACAACTTGGCCAATTTTGCGTCGTGACTTGAGCCTGCACCTGTACAAAATTCAACTGACCCAGGAACTGAAGGTAAACGACCATAGACAACGACGTGTGTTCGCTGAATGAGCTCTGGAGCAGACGACAACTGACTCTAATTTTCATTGAAAAATCATCTTTACCAATGAAGCCCATTTCTGGATGAACGGGTACGTGAACAAACAAAATTGTCGAATTTGGGACGATACCAATCCACATGAGATCTAAAAGCGTCCAATGTATCCCAAAAAAGTTACTTTTTAGTGTGGATTTTTGGCAGGCAGCGTCATCGGTCCATATTTCTTTGAGAACGACGTTGGCCAGGGCATCACTGTCAACGGCGAGCACTACAGGTCGATGATTATCAACTTCCTTCGGTCTGAATTGGATGATCTGGACACCAACGACATGTGGTTTCAACAGGATGGTGCTACATGCCACACAGCTCATGCCACATTTGATATTCTGCGATTTTAGGACATGCTCATCTCACGTGGAGGTGATGTAAACTGGCCACCAAGATCGTGCGATTTGACCCCGTTAGACTTTTTCTTGTGGGGTTTTCTTAAGTCGCAGATGTGAGCGGATAAGTCACAAACAACAGCGGTCCTCAAAACCAACATAATTCATGCCATCGGACAAACTCAGCCTGATTTATGCGATAGAGTCATGGAAAATAGGACGTTTCGGATGCGTTCCATCCAGAGAAGCTGTGACACATTTGAACGATGTTATATTCCACACATAATGGCATCAATGGGTCTTTCAAGCGAATAAAAACTTTCGATGATATCTCACACATACTTTGTTTTATTCAAATTCAAAGATAGGAAGCGTTTAATGAAATACCCTGTATATATTTTTGTGGAGTCCAGCATCTATAACATACTGATTTTTAAAGATACGTGAAATTATGTGACAGTAAACGATTCGAAATTCAAAAGTAATAAAGTGCCTTAATAATAGTGGGAACTAGGTTGAAAAATGGGCTTTCACATGGGCTTTTAATGTTTACTTGCTGTTTATTATTGAACCTCAGAAGTAAAGTCGTAATTTAGGATATTCTGTGCTCCCATATTGCAAAGTTATCCAAAATGTAATTCATATTATAGTCATAGAGAAAGTTTAATCTACAATAAGTGTAATGTATCGAAATATCAGCCTGTTTACGAACAATCGCTAATAATTAATCAATAACAGCGCAACTCGATATGCAGATTCCTAGGAACCTGCGCGTATAGTCGAAGTAAACGATATTGTGCACTCATAAAGTTGGCGACACTCTCAAAGGCCAAAAAAACCAATACATAGAAATGAACCAGCAGCGAACTAGTCCACGTGTAGTGTAGATTTGTCGGTTCGTATTGGATAATTTTTACTAACCGAGTTTTATGATTGGCTTAAGAGCCATAAAATTGAAGTCATGTTACGGTGACGAATAGAAATCGGGGAATATAGGGATGGTTATCGCCGTCGTGTTCAGTACAGGAACTGATCGCAATTTCAGTGCTGAAATTCGATATTGGTGCAGTTATAATGACTTGAAATTTTTGTTATCTGTTTAAAGTGTGGCGTTCTTGGACAATAACTAATAGTAATAACGAGTGTGATAACCTCGCAGACTTTTTCCAGTGCAGTGATTCTAATAGCGATGTTGAACCAAGCGAAAAAGAGATACCAGTGAATATGATTCGGATGCATTTGAACATAGAGAGTACGCTTCAATGTATATAAGAATCTACATCTCAAGTTTGGTTTCGAGGAAAACAAACTATTACAAGCAACATCAGATTGGAACGAAACTCCTTTCTCAACTGTACGTAAAATAGTCAAAAACAAACCTTATGAACGCAAGACGCGATGTGATACAGGATTACCAAATCCTTTAGTTGTTAATCTAATAAAATCATTGAAAAAAACAATAGACGACTATTACAAAAGCAATGAGATTTCTACAACTGAAATCATAAGGAAAAAATTGAATACTTTCGGCAATAACGTGAGCTATAATGACAACACTCTTCAGAATTCGATAAAGAAACTAGGATTGAGATTTAAAATAATAAACAAACGTCAAGCAGTTGCGGAAAGCCCTCTTATTGTTCCGTATATCACACATATTATAAATCTCTGCCCGATGCATGGTGTCGTCCCGTTAGTTTGGAAGAAGGCTGTAGTAAAGGTTCTATTCAAAAATCAACAACCTGCAGAATACAAAGATAAGCATTTTACCTATTTTTTCTAAGAATCTTGAAAGGAGTATTGAAGTACAAATGAGAGAGCATTTGACTAATTTCTCATTACTGACCATTGTTCAATCTGGCTTCCGAAAAGGTCATAGCTGCACTACTGCC